ATATATATATATATATGCGCTCGCTGACACCATCATAGTAAAAGAAAAATTACAATTGAAAAAATAGACTTTTTTTTTATCTTTCCTTCTCTCCTTTCTGAGCCTCTCTATCGCCCCCTGGTGTTCCCCAGGCGGCCTAGGGCATTTTTTCTTTAACAAAATCCTCTCATTAAATCTCCCAGGCTCCTCCCACATGCAGTCCCGTTTGTTTGGCAACAAGAGCAACTCGTTTGTGCAGTTGCCGTAGTTAACCCGATATTGATTTTGATTTCTGGGAAAACAAACAGAGCGCTTTTAAATCCAGCGCAAACTGAACGCTGGTCCTTTTTCTTTCTGTCAGCGCTCAGGAGTCAAAATGAGGGTCGGAGTCCGTTGCTGTCCTCTAATCCTCTGCCTGGCCCTGGTCTCGGTGTTCGGGCTGGGCGAAGACCTCGACCGGCCTCTGTTCGGGCCTCCCGGCTCTCCTATCCGGCTTCATGAGTCCGACCCGGACCTTAAGAAGGTTCTGGGTTTCGCGGAGGAGCGATACAACCGGGGCTCCAACGCTATGCACCTCCGCCGAGTCAGCCGGTTCGTCTCTGCCACTAAACAGGTTAAGACTTAAAAACAATTATTTCTTCATTGTTTAAATAATTGTATCTTGGCTGTGTTTTTAATCATTTAAGAGTCAGTTCAGTATTATTCAATGTCTGTAAACAACGATAATTAACCCTGCGTCATGGTAACATAAGTGAGATCCGGACGGAAGGAAAAATTCATAATTTCAAAAATAAAAGCACAAACTTCATCGTACAGAACAAATGCTGATGTACATTTCCTAAAGAATATATTTATTTCAAAGCTATCTAATTCTGATTAAAACAATTCTCCATTAAATGAAGTGAAACAGACGTACTATTAATGTAAAACTTAAATTGTTAAAGCGTTTTTTCCCCAACCGGAAGCGTCGATTCATCAGCGCATCATCGACACACCACCAGAGAAGCTGTATTCCTAAAATAACAACACGAAACCATAATCTGTTAAATTCAGTGAGGGAAGGTGATGATGCCTGACATTAGGAAGTCATGTGATGAATATGTTGTTAAATTTACATGTTACTCCATCCATCCATCCATCCATCCATCCTTCCATCCTTCCATCCTTCCTTCCTTCCTTCCTTCCTTCCTTCCTTCCTTCCTTCCTTCCTTCCTTCCTTCCTTCCT